CACGTGACTAAAAGAAACGACGGGCTCTGGGGACAAGAATGGAAACGATCCATCAATTCCAAGCTGAGAGCACATGCGCAGCATACACCTGCCCTCCTCGGGATTTTTTATCCAGGCTGTAGCAATACTCTTCGGCTACTCGTACGGTAAATCATTTTTTTCTTGCTGCTCTCTTATGGTTTCAAAACCCTCCACCTTTAAACTCCACTTTGACTTCAAAGAATTGGTTAACTGGCAGGAACAAGATTTTCTAAGTACATCTGGATAGTTATATTTTTTAAATGACAACTGATCCTTGTTTGTTTCAAGAACTAAGGATAACGTAACAACTTGAAATAATTCCAAGCATCGAAAGGAGAAGGAGATTAAGTCCTGGCCATAAAAGATTACCCTAAATCAAAAGTTTGTAAACTGATGAAGCCGGTAAAAATTAAAGTAAAGGGAACTAAAAGTCAAATTAAATTTACAAATTTGAAATGGACAAAATAGACTCAAACGTTCAACGTTTTTATTACTTTAATATTCTGTTTTTATACCTCGCTATTATGAACATTTCAGTATCACATAGGTAAAGGACAGGACAATTTTTAACTGAATTTACAAGTAACTTTCTATTCAACTGATTTATTACATACATTTTACGTCACTACCTCCTCAGTTTAATTACATGTTAACGTCATGTTAACCACGTGGTTTACTTTAGGTAAGTCAAGTAACTAAGAACGTATTGCCACTGCTAATTCTGCTAAAGAACATTGATTTTCCTGAATATAATTGTTATTTAATTTCCAATCGGCTGCTCTGTTTCTTGATTTGACCAGTTGCGTTCTTCAGCTCCTTGCACATGCCCTGCTTCAAGTCTGGCCACAACGTTTGGCGATTTAAAGAATCTCATCTCAATTTCTTCGGCTTTTAGCGAGATTAGCAGTTTTACACAATATTTCGATAAAAGCAACGCGAAACTCTCGAATTTTGATAGAATAAAGAATCGGGTTAATAACAGAGTTCAGTAAAACTACAGAACTGTACGAAAAGATGACGATGCATGTGGTGTCTAAAGATATTCCGTTCTCGGGGATGTACTTCTCTAAAATCATTCTACTTATAATTGTTGGCAGGTAACACAGGAATAAAACTATCACAATCCGGGTTGTTACTTTAAAAGGTTTTTTATCTTTTAGAATTTTTTCTCTTATCTCTTGTGTTACCTGGTGATTGGCAATTTGCTGTTTATGCCTGAGGGTTTCACGGTATACTATAACATTACACCAAACTATGACGACGATGCAAAAACACTTAAATGCGTTAGTGATGAAGAGAAACACGCTCATATATACTGTAAAGGTATAGTACCATAAAATATGAATAATCAGTGAAAATGTCCATGCCACTGCAGAGGCAATCAGCAACTTAGTCTCGGTAATAACAAAAGTATACGCAAAAGGGTGTTTTACAGCAATATACCGCTCCAAGCTTATCATAGCAACATGGGCTAGTGAGACATCAAGAAGACTGTCCATTAAGAGTCTTATATATTTTAAGAAAAAAAATGGGCATATTTCAGTCTTGTAGTTGATTAAGATCACTACTAACCAGGCGACTGTGGCAGGCTGAATTAAAATGCCAACTGTAAAATCCGTAGTAGCTAACAGAGCGATTATGGTGTTTGACTTGTGAGCCCTCAGTCGTCGTTTAGTTTTCACGGCGAACATCACCACCGCAAGAAGGCGGTGAAGGGAAAAGTGAAGACGTTGATAATTATGTTGACAACGAAGACAACTTGAGCACCAAGGGAAGGGTTTTTCATTTTTCCCCCCCCAGAGGATGTAGACTAGACATTCATCTTGCATTGGATGGCTTCGCTTGAGTTGTTCATAGCTTCTTTCTTCTCTCGTGGTATAGTCCCCGGTCAGTCAGCTGCTTTCAATGCAACTCTTCTTTCGTGCTGCTTCGAGAAATTGCATTTGACTTCTCACTCTCTTATAGCCGATGATTATACAGTGATTTCAATGGATTTTCATTTTTAATACGTATAGATCAGAACGGTTTTTATTAATGCTTGTTGATAAGGCCAAGTGATCTGTGCGGCTAATTGCAGCCGGCTTTCTCTAAGGCTTAAACAAAACCGGTGACTTTAATTTGCGAAACGCAAGTGAGCTATGTTCGTCGGTTGTGGTAGGTGACTACGGAAAGTGTTGACACCAGCTGACTATTCAGTAATTATAAAAAAAACTAGCCGAGTATAGTTCCGCAAGAAGAAAGTAATCGCTAATACACACGGTAAAAAAGTTTTCTGTGTAAGTCTCTAAAATCCGGCCAGAGATCACGAATGTAGTGTTTCAATTTATTTCTCCAAGAAAGCACGCTTTCAAATGAAAGTATTATTTTCTTTGAATGCGGTTTTTCTTTGAGTTTAGTAGACAAATTCAAAAGCAAAGTAATCTCAATCGAAAATTGCAATGGCTTTTCTGAGTGTTCTATGTTCAGGAGGAAACGTCAAAAAAAACTTGAAGTGAATGTTTTAGGCAATCAGTTAAGGCGGTCGAAATTGCAATTTGGTTGCTCCGATCAGCTGGTTGAAATAAGTGTTGCTCTTAGCCAAAGATAATCTTGATCCTGATTGGCTCTAATGGCTGATAACAGGCAATAACAGGTAACAGCAATTAGTCCCAATTATATTGAACGAGTCCCAATTAAATTGAATCTATTTTTTAAATGGTTTCATCGGCTTACTTACTATATTATCAAAGTATCATGAGCCTAGCCGGCCAAAGGGCTAACAAAGATTAAAAAAAAGAAGAGATGATACGGAAAAAAGGACAAAGAAAATATAAAAGTGGATATAATAATCAATTCTTTTATTACTTGTGACGCACAATTCGCAAGTGTATTTAACCAAACAAAAATCGTATAGTTCTCGGAACAAAGATCTCTTGCATATGTTTATTAAATGCACGTTCAGATAATATTCACAATACAGATTTCTTCCATATCCACTTACGGTAAGTTTAATTTCGCCAATAATGTATTTTTAGAAGTACTTTGTCGTTGGGGATAGTACAGAAGTTTGCTAATTTACACCAAACAGGCCGCTTCGTGGTCAAAAATTACAACTGTCCTTTCTATTCCCAATAAGAAGGAATCCTTCCGGTATTTTTCTCACCAAGAGCTTCAAAATGATATGTGTTGTTGTTTCTTTATATTTGTCGAAAATTAACGGAAACTCAGGGTTATACGTGCAATCGACATCATACTTGGCCAGTCGACTGATAAAAGCCCCTCTTATTATTCATTCAAAATATTTCCCCGATTCTGATTGGCTAAAAACACACGCATAATTAATTCACCATAACCAGCTACTGATGACCAAATCTGGAAGTATTTTGCGTTTAATGAACCGATGACGTCAAAAGTGCAGCTGTCTTGCAGGTTAATGCACCTTTAACCGAGAAAACCTGGAGACGAGGTTGAGTTGTTTTGGTTGTGAAAAAAAAGTCAGACATTTCACTCGTTTCAAGAGTAAAAACTGGGCGAAATAATGGCTAAAACATGGCAAGAACAGCAAGAAGACAACTCGAAGGGCGACATCTGCTATTTGCAGAATATTTGCGGAGCTGAACAACCCTAAACGTGCACTATCGAAAATGAACTTAACTTCGATGGATCGATGGAGGTAAGCATGTGTTAGCCAAGTTTTTAAACTAGGAATTATTTTGAATGAATAATAAAACAATTATTGAATTCGGCTTTCGTGTCATATGAAGAATTATGGAGATTTCGGAGGGTGTTAACTCCCTCCTCGATCTCCTTAATTCTTCATATGATACTCAGCCTCATTCATTAATTGTTAATTATCAAAAGAAAGTACGAATATAATTGAAACATCGCTTTCAATTGATTTCGTTTGTCATAGCAACCGCATAACGGCCACCAAAAGCACTATATTACAGTTTTCTTTGCGAAAAACCTTTTTCTATGTGGGGACTGGACACACAATAAAGCATTGTCGGTTTTGCGCTCGCGTAGTATGTTTTGCTCTGTGTGCCTAGGAAGCAGCATGTGTATAAAAAGGCGGCAAGATGCGGAAAGGTTTTTGGTCAGCGGTAAAATTTACATTAAATTTTTTTTGGCTAAGAACTTGCAACTGGTTCACAGGTAAGCAGCGAAATTTGTTAAAGGCTAAGCTGCAAAAGTAGAACTAGATTTTACAGCTGGATTACCACTCAAAACAATTTCAGGGATGAACTGGCATTCTCTATCTACTCAGTGAAAGCAGCATTCGTATATGCCATTGCACCCTGTGTCCAGTCTTAACCTCTTTAAAATTAAGCTTCTCAAATAACAATTACATTAAATATCCCAGATTACTTAAGAACTAAAATTTTCATGCCACTGAAATGAGATTTTTATGCCTAGCACGAGAGTTGTCTAGTTTCATATCGGGATTACCCAGCAAGCAAGAGCTACCTTTCTGCGATGTATGTACCGATAAAATGTAGCCATTGCTAACAGGTTGTCAGTCGCCACGAGAATGGAACTAGGGTCGAAAGGTTCCCCGTCATTGTTTCTGGAATCGTTAATCATGACCTGCGGCGTCAGCTATTGGCCAATATTTTCCCATAGATAACTCAGCCCCAGTCTCCTTTTCGTTTCCAAAGTGTCGAATATGGAAACTTTTATAATAATGATGGTATCCAAATCTTGCTGTTTTAACAAAGACCAATAAACTGTCATAAAAAAACAGCAAAGATCAAAGCGACTTGACCGTTCAAAGTATCGGGAATACTCAAGTCGCTTTGTTCTTTCCCGTTTTGTTATTGCAGCCATGTATAATGTTACAGCTTATTGGCGAATATGGCTTCTGTCATGCACAATAATTTTATACAGTGTTGAATAAGCAATTCCTCTTTCTACATGGGTATTTCCCTTTAGTCCATTTACATTGTCGGACTGTGTTCAGTAAACATTATATACAAATCGCACATCAGAAGCTATTTCATTCAAAGGAAAAACATCGCAATAAATGTTAAGAAGCTGACACCCAATGCGCCCCAGCCTATTTTGACCACGTGACCGGCATTCCAGAAAGAAAATGAAGTAGTGCCGTCATGATGAGCCATTGAGTTACATCCACTCCATTGACAACATGTAAAACAGTGCTTCTTGTGAGCTAAAGAGTTAGAAACAGTAGGGTAAGTCTAGATAAGAACGCGCGTACTATTGTAGCCATATAATGATAAATAATAATCAGCATTGTTATTGCGCTGGGTTGAGACTTATTTTAACAAGGGAGTGGACCAGAATTTAGGAAAGATCATTGGATTCATTGACATCAATTAGCTGCTTAACATATTGGGAACGGTGCACATTAACCAAAAAAGAAGATTTCTCTCCATCCAGTAAAACAAAATACCCCTTTAACACCTCAGGACCAGGGAATGTTCCCAGTTCTTAGAGAGTACAAGAAGCAATTTATACTGCTAGGAATAATAATCATTATCTTAATCACAATAATAAATGTTCTTTAGCCAGGGCCACTTTCTCAGAATGACGTGCCATTTTTACTAGTGAGGATCTTGGAGAAGATTAGTGATTGCTGTAGGTGCCTAGGAGGATATACTTTATATTGTCCCAGGCTGGTTGTGGATCACGGGCAGGGCCGGAATTTTCCAAGTGCTCATTACTATGTAGCAGATTTAGGATGCGTGTTACATGTGTCTGAGCCTTAAGAAAACGACCCATCATGCATTTCAGGATGACACTCTCCGAGGCTAGTACCCAGTAGTCAGAACACCCTCCCCGGCAGAATTGTGGGATATCACTGAGGAATCGAACCATTTCCAAGTTGTCTCAATCCTCTGTTTAGAACGAGATTATAGTAAATGTATACATAGCCCTCAACAGGAAAATCCTCGTTTCTTCTACTGCCAATTCAACTCATGTCCACAAAAAAGGTCTTGTAATTGGCCTTACTTTGAAAGTCTGGGCTCAAACGGAGCAATCTGAAGTGATAGCCTGAATTTGAGACGATGACTTCGAGTCGTTTTTACTCTACTGAGGGAGTAAAAGCGACTCGAAGTAATCTTCTGAAATTCAGGCTATCTGAAGTGGGTGACCTAGATTTAAATTTAACATCAAATGTTATTTACGTATAGTAAACAGCGAGGTAAGTTTTTAGGGAGGAAACGATTAGTAACAAAAAAAGTTGAGTTAAACCGAAAAAAATTAAATTAGGGATACAGGTTTGCATAACTATAGGAAAGCATGATTCTAAAAAACCGACCCCGCCAGGATTCGAACCTGGAATCCCCTGATTCGTAGTCAGATGCCTTATCCGTTGGGCCACGGGGCTTGTACAGCGAGAACTTTTTCTTTATTCGCGAAAATCTTCAAATTCAAAAAAGTGAACAACAACACCAACATTAACCAGGATTTCACCCATAAAAGCTAAAGCTTGTCATGTGTAACTGCTTTACATGTGTTTTTTAGGTTTTCTCCTGTGCATTGACCACGTTCTCCACGAAAATGGGAAGATAACAGACCAACAACAAAGTATGTAAAGAGGCCATGCTCCATTAAAAAAACACACACACCATGCCCCTAAATCCCCTTTGATTTTCCCCATCTCCTGAGGAAAAACTCAGAAAAGTCTAGCATTGAAAAGCTCGTTTCAGTGGACAGACAGGGTAACCGCAAGAGGCCTTTATTTGACTTTTCCCGTGCTTGTACAGTCCTTTTTGGCAATGTCTCCAGGCCTTTTTAAGTCTGGAATCGGACAGTCGAAATATCGTTAGCTATCGTAACTACAGTTGATTCACGTTGTTTGGATAGTCACCAGAAATTGCCACATATTGGCGACAATCATTTATACAATGAAACTGCTTTCTTGTTTCAGTGGAACAACAGGATAACCGAAAGAGGCCCTTATCTGACTTTATCTTTGTTTTTTTTTTTGTTTCTGTTTTTGCTTTTTATTCTTTTTGACAAAGACCAGACTTTCCAAAACTTGAACCGCATAGTCGAAATATCGTTAGCTATTATTGTGACTACAGTCGATTCTTAATTTATCTTATAAATCCAGTGGCGAAGCGATATTCTTGTATTCACTCCTCAGTCTGCAAATTAAAACACCACGTAAAGTTCATTCAAAAACTAAATAACCCGCTTACCTTTGCAAGGTTTGGCTCGAGCCCTTTGACACTGCTTATGGTTAGCACATCCCATGTTATAGTGAACTATGTTATCTCTCTTTATGCTCTTGGTGAAGCAGATGTTGGATAATCCACTGTCGCATCTTTTCAGCGTGCGTTTATGAGTACATTCCTCGTAGGTGGAGTTCTTAGGGCAGTGATGGCACATGGGATACATTTCGTGGGCTGGATGGTTGACGCTACCATGTTGGTACGTCAAGTCCACGTCATCTTCAGGAGGCGCGTCCTTGGAATCGGTCAGGTTCCCTTCGACTGCTTGGATAATAACAGCAGAAGTGGTAAGTCAAAGGGAACACAAATTCAGTACAATGTTCCAATGGACCCTAGGGAGGTACCCCTCTATAATGGCCTATACGGGAGACTACCCCCAGGAGGAGGTACCTTTTTCAGAGTTCAGGTATAAGGGTAAGAATTTCACTAGTTGAAGGATCAACCTCGTTCTCAGGTAAGAGAGAACCCTGGGAACGAGATTGGTTGAAAGATAGATATGAAAGGGTAGGGAAATCTGTCATTGTGGTCCGTGAAAGGACGTATTATATGACTCTGAAAAAGTCAAAAAACTTCCAAGACAACGAATTTACAGTAGTTAAAAGGGATGCAGTGTTTTAAACTAGACGTGTGAAAGGGGTACCATTTGCCAATAGAAGGTATACGGAAAGGAATACATTTTCTGCCAAAAATGGTTTATAAAAGAGTAAGGGGTTGGATCTGGGGTGGACATTCCTCGTATAAAACTTTGTTGAAAGTCTCACCCCCTTCCCCTGCCGAGCAATGGACAAAGAAGAACGCCACAATATCATTACCTCCGACAGATTGGATAATGCAAAATATAATAAGTGTTACGAATATGCAACGATCAAGAAAAACTACAGGCCACTAAAAATGGCTGAAAACACATGATTAAGAAATGTTGGGCCCCAGCTGCCGACATACAAAACCGCGGTTTTATGGCTAAGAACCACTACCACTCTACAGGTAACGCTGCGCATCAAAATCGAGTGAAAAACGCCAACGCTATGGCCAGCTGCGGAGACCGACTGACATTTAACAATGATTGAAAAAGTTAAAGGATCGTAGCAGCGACAAAAACTATAATTATGATCATTGCTGACAGAATACTGCCACTCCTCCAAAGCAGCTCGGCAAACCACGCAAAATATGACAGACACTATAGCGCTTTAGTTAACTAATATGCATGGCTAACAACCTGGCATATTTTTCAAAAATCCAACTGAAAATTCTCTTCACACTTACTTTGGGATTCATTATATAAAGTTTTCGGCTGGTCTTTTCAAAACAAATCATCCACGGCCGAGCTAGTAAATAGCCAGCATCCTGACAATTTAGGCGCCGTCCAAACGTAGCCGTTTATGTTTGAAAACAGAGATTTCTTTCTCCAGTTTGGCTTAACATCCACACGTATCTGATAAAAACGTCAACAAAAACAAACTTTTTTTTTTCAAAAACGCTCTCCATTCTGAAGAGCGTCTTTCGTTCACGTGGACGGACGAAAAGGAAAGTCTTCGAAAACGATGAGTGTCACACATCATACCGCGGCCAATGCCGAGGCCAATGCCAATGTTTTGTGTGGACGGGCAAAAACGATTCGAATACGCTACGTGTGGACGCATATTTTTCGAAAATGGAGAAGAAACTCCTTTTCAAAAATATCCAGAAACGTGTGGACAAGCCTCAAGTTTACACTTTAAAGGTACAACGACTATCTTGCCTGCCCTATTTACATGGAAGTTCAAATGGGCATTTTAGGGAAGATTTTGTACCAATAGCTAACACATATCAGGAGTAGAATACATAATATAATACGGGAAAAGGAACTACAAGTTTCAGTGAAGAAAAGATCTTTACCACAGATCTTCCAATCTAAGGTTTAGCGCATTTGAGTATCACAACCCTAAAACAGCTTCCCCTGTTTTAAGAAACACCAGGGATAGTTACCTTTAGTGCTATTTAGCTTTTTCTTATCTTGTTGGGTGATGTGGCTAGTCTTGTTTCCTTTACTTTCTGACGACTCAACAGTCTGCTTATGGGGAAACAGGAAGAAGGAAATGGTATAGGGGTGAGGCTCTTCCTCCGTGACGTCATTTCCGGTTGTCCGTTCTGCTTGCTGTGCGTCAGTGACTTGTAAAATGAAATAACAAGATGTTACGTCGCCTAATGTAGTCTGTTTTGTATTAACTGTTGTCATGCTAAACGTGAAATGCGTGCCTGCAATTCAGGCGTTTCTTGGCGATCGTCAGTCACAGAAGGCATAGTGTCTTTGGATCAGTCTCAGAGGAAAATATAGTTTGAATCCCAGTTCCTTCCCCCTGCCCCTGTTTCAACGTTTTGTCTTGCGTCAAGAAACCCCTGGATTGCCAACAGCTATGGAACCCACTCTGGCATGGCACTACTTACTTATCTAAGATTATTTTTATGAGAGGGTTTTAAAGTTATGCATATCACATCTCCTCCTGTGGTAAAGCTATTCGACAGGCGAAAAGGCAGAGAGGCCAATAACAGAACCCTGAGGAACAGGGCGATGAGACATTGCCCGATCGAGAACTACCTGTTGTGTCCTATTTGACAAATCACTTTTATTCAAGTTCAAGAAGTTTAGTTTGATTGTTTTTAGATCCGTTACTGTGTGGAGTTGACTATTTCACTTCCCTGAGATTGTAATGGAGCGCGTGATTGGATGTTCGGTTCCATTTTCAGACAGAAGAGATATTCACACGCTAATTACATTTTTTTGTTTCTAACGCCATTTTTGATTTCAAGATAAAAACAAATCACATTTAAAGCAAGCTCTTCTGTATGTTAGTCTCCTCAGTTTCAGATTCAGGTAATGACTTTATTCTTAGTTTCCACTGTATCATTATGTCGCTTCCTTTACAATAGACTACCATTTTTTCCATAATGCTTAGGAGAGAGAATAAAACAAGGAGGGGTTCGTTTAATCTGACCCAGATAGGAGGACTGGAAGAAATACTATAATAAAAACTGTTTGAAAAAAAACAAATCCCGTTTGTGAACTTAGATGTTAGGAAGACAAACGAAGCTTACAAATATAAAAAGCAGAGCACTGCTGAGGCAACTGTTGCGTTATAAAATTCAGCTACGTGAAAATGTCTCACACTCTTACAACTTGTAACTCGATCTATTGAACTAAATCTGAAAACACATAATTGATTGAATTTTAGACTGCAAATGTAAACAGTCGTATGAAGACGAAATTGCTGGTTGCCGCGACCTGGGGTGAACGTCAGTTTTATCACACTGAGCTACGAGTCCCGCGACTAGTCAACTTTGCAAGAGTTTGCTACTTTTGCTATTCCTTTCCACTGGGAAAAAATGGGATTTGCAAAAATGTCTTTTTAATTAAAGTTATTTCAAAGATTTGGAGTTAATAAAGCGTGGCTAACTTAATTTCAAGTAGGATATCTTAAATTTGATAATTACGTCATGTGGCGAGTATTTTTGCAACTATCACAGCTCGTTTGAAGATATAATTTACGACATGGGATATCAAGTTAACGGATTACATATAGACAATGCTCTTGATGAAGTGGCTAGTGTCAAAATAAAATAACGTTTTGTAGTCATATCTTATCGAAAAGCGCAAGTCAGGATATCCGTACCGGAAAATGACAACTGTGTATTTCCTTCCGCGACATTGCATCACTTACAACCAAGGTAAATTGTATGGGGTTTCTAACCCATGAAAAAATGAATATAACATAAGGAATTCGTCAAAGTAACCCAAAAAACTTGGTACTCACCTAATGCGAGGCAAAGAAGCGACCAGGCGAGAAACAGACGGCTCATAGCAGCCTATTTAGAACCTAAAATGGCAGAATAACAAGCAAGGAACGGTTAGACGGTCGACTTATTGCCTGTGACCTTTAGAGCGTGCAAGCGGCAAGTAGAAGAGCTGGTACCGGTAAAGGTCAGTTGTCCTTGACTCTCGCCTCGTTTAATTGTCTCAAATCAAATTCTTCTCACGTTAAATAAGTGTACTTTTTGAATGGTGTCTGTGAGAGGCTATTGGTGGTCTTACAAGAAAGGTGAAAAAAGAATTTTTAACTGATGCTATACTTATTAACGTAGGTACTTCTTTCTGAGAGGGGTAAACAATCATCGATGTCTTGGAGTAATATATTTGAACTCTTGGGTTGAAGTCAAAGAAACGGTTTTATGCAAAATGATTAGAGTGCTGGACACAGGGTTAGTAAAATTATGGTCAATGAACATTCCAGCTTAAGATTACAAGATCTTTACTTGAATAAATTTTTCCTTACAACTTTCGACCAATGATAAATTGCAAATTGTTGCTGGGATGAAGAAAGTAATGATCAAAAAGCATGTCACGAGCAAGAAGCCCGCAGGTACTCCTGGCGGAAACTTCGGGTGGGGGAATATGAGGCATGATTCCAGAACCCGTTGCCCTATTAGACATCAAAAGTACGCCCCCCACCCCCTTTAATTCAGACATCAATCAGGCTGTTTTCAACTGAAAAGAGTTTTAAAAAAAACCCACCCAATTCCATTTATCATTTCCAGAAAGCACAAAACATTATCCTGTTTCAAGTGAATTTCAGAGCAAAACCTGTGAAATGTATTACCAGTTGTAGTTCAAGAACCGCACTCCGGATAGGGCATCTGTTCTCAAATAAGAACGGCGGTGATTTCGGCGCGATCTCTGTAACGGAGCGAAGCCGCCGCGCCGATCTCTAAAGTGGAGAGTTACATATCGGATAGGTGTACATAATATACCGGACTGTTTTTCGTGTCGGCACGATAAGCAACTCGGTGTAGTGTGATCATCGATCGCCTTAGATTAATTCGGATTTACAGTCACAATCGCAATCCTCTTGAATCTACGGAGAACCACTTGATCTCTAATTGCGGAGAAGTCATAAATTAGAAAACTAACATTTAAATATTCAAAGAGGGTCTCAATGGGGTTAACCGATAGGCGTAAAACGGCCAAAAATTTAGTCGATAGCCGTAAAAATTGAAAAATTTCAACCGTTAGCCGTAAACAGGGTAAAAAAAAGTTAACCGTAAAGGAAAGTGTTCCCTGGATTTGTTAGTTTTAAGGAAGGTGCTAAACTCACTTATGGTTGTGTTTTTATTTCCCGGATACTTTGACTGCGAACGCACGTTAGGCCAAGCGCCTAGCTTTTAGGTGTTGACCTAGGTCACCTAGACCTAGGCTCCATTTCCGCCGCCGCTCTCTCGGGGAACTAATTTTTTCCATAGCGAAAATCTGGCTTCTTGCTGGGGATTAATATTTGAGATTTTCGGGAGGTCGTGCCCTCGAAATACTAGCAACACGCAGAGATGTCACTCTTTGTGAAACACGTCGACGATAAACAACAATTCCATGTAACAATTCCCTGTTTTTCTCTGACGCTACGGCGTCTTCCCAATCTGAGAAAAAAAACTCGCTCGGACCACGTGACCCGAAACGCATCAGCCGCGCGGAATAATGAGGCCTACGGACAAGGCAACGGCAGACAGTCGTTCTGTATAGTCCTTCGTTATCATTAAAAACACCGGACACGGGAATTGTTTTACATTAGCCGTTTTCACACTAGAGCTAAAAATGGATTATCCATCTGAGACTAGCCTGTGTACAGTCACCCCCTCCCCCACAGACACTCCTTCTCCCTTCCTCCTTCTGAGGGGAGGGGGCGGCTGTACACAGGCTGCCTGAAATGTATAATCCATCTTCAATTAAATTGTCCGTCAAAATTGACGGAGAAAGCCAGGCGGATTGTTCTGATTCAAAATTAAAACCATTCCATTTTCAAATTAAGACGTATTACCTATCTGACGCGAATTATCAAACGGATAACCCGTCTGACCCGATTAATCCGCCTTTAGTTTGAAAACGGCCATTTCTGTTATAAATGAATGTCGCGCACCGGCCTTGAGTTAAGCGTTTGCGTCAGTCTGTTTTTGCTTTTTCACAAAGATTATTTTTAAATTTATTATTGACATTTGTATGGGTAAAATAATCTTAGAAGTGGAATACTTCATAAAAAGTATGATCTATCAAATGTTAAAATTTTTCAAAAGGATAGTTTGTTTCATCCCGAGATGATCTGAAGACCTTCTTTCGATTTAAAGATACCAAAAATACAGGTTAATTAATATTTAACTCCTTCGAACAAAAGAAATTAATTTTTAACTTTGTTGTTAACCGTAACTGGAAAAAATTAACCGATAGCCGTAAAAGAGCCAAAATTTTAGCCGATAACCGTAAAAGCTACCACCCCATTGAGACCCTCTTCAAACACTCGAGGAGGTAAATCAAATTGACGTTTAATTGGTTCTGATTGAAAGTTTTCAGAACTTCAGGAGAATTTTGCGCCCGAATTTTAAACTGTAATTCCTTTAGGAGAATATGATACGATCTTAACCGGCATGCATTGGAAAAAGCGATCTCTGCCGCAGTTATTTCTAAGCACAAATAACTATCCCACTGTCTGACAAGTGCTGATAAATCGACCTACCAACCAAGACCGAACAATCTACCCATAGACACACTTAATATAATGAAGAAAAGCGACCAGCTGGGTGGCTGAAAAGAAGAACCTTTAGTCTATGATATATCCGGTAAGTTTCTGTCAGTTTGCACCATGAAGGGCGAAGAGTAAAGCAACAATTACAGTTCTCGTTCACAGAGTCATCAATGAAAGTGGTTAACAAAAAATGTGGTCACAGCGTCATCAAAGTGGTACACAACAAATGTAGTAGTCACAACAAAGGTGCCGATAATGGAGTAAAACCGTGAATAAAATAGACCAACGAAACAAGAAATTGTTGCCTTTTTTGAACCAGGACCAATCGAAGGTCATCGTTCCTTCTTTTTCGACTCTTTTAGTCTTGAAATGAACAGTGCTTATTAAGAAGTTTCATTCCTTGTCAATAACTTACCGCCTGGCTTTTGTTTACTATTCCTTGTCCGTTAGCCGGCGTTTTTATCCTGCGACAAGTGAAAATCTTTCGTAATCGAAATTCGGTTGCTTTTTTTCGCATGGTTTCACTCGAGAGATCTTGGAAGTGACACAAGAGCAAGCTATTGACATGTCATTGAAAACGTCTCACAGTTGAACGCATGGGAAACCAAGGGAAGAAAATCATCTCTCTGAGTAACCGTAAGCTTCTAGACCTTTCTTGTTTAGAATTCCATTTGGTTTCTAAATTGCTACTTTATTAAATGTTTTTTTTTTTTTAACAGGATGAATCCTGTATGAAACGACAGCAAGTGCGAGGCAAATAATCGGGGCGTAAGACTTGGCCCAAAAACGTAACAATTTCATCATGGTCAATTGCTTGGTCGAGAATCATTTATACACACAAAAGGAAAAGGAAGGAAAAGCCTTTCACAGCCATCAAAAGGGCTTATCACTTATATTATGTACCTTGAAAAGGCGGCATTGTAACAACGCTGTCTTACAAAAAAAAGCCAAAATAATAGGAATTAGCCATGCTAATTACATTTTGATATTTTGATTCGATTTGATAATCCTGAAACCACTTCTACAGTACGGTGTTGTACTTAAATTTGACATCAACTGAGATGAAAAATCGAGTGAAAAACGCCAACGCTATGGCCAGCTGCGGAGACCGACTGACATTTAACAATGATTGAAAAAGTTAAAGGATCGTAGCAGCGACAAAAACTATAATTATGATCATTGCTGACAGAATACTGCTACTCCTCCAAAGCAGCTCGGCAAACCACGCAAAATATGACAGACACAATAGCGCTTTAGTTAACTAATATGCATGGCTAACAACCTGGCATATTTTTAATAAATCCAACTGAAAATTCTCTTCACGCTTATTTTGGGATTCATTCTAAATTTTTCGGCTGGTCTATTCAAAAAAAATCATCCACATCCGAGCTAATGAATAGTTAGTATCCTGACAATTTAGGCGCGGTCCAAACGTATCCGTTTATGTTTGAAAACGGAGATTTCTTTCTCCAGTTTGGCTTAACATCCACACGTATCTGATGAAAACGTCAACAAAAACACACTTTTTTTTTTTCAAAAACGCTCCCAGAATGGAGAGCGTCTTTCGTTCACGTGGACGGACGAAAAGGAAAGTTTTCGAAAACGGTGAGTGTCATGCATCATACCGCGGCCAATGCCCTAGAAGGGATGCTATCATATTTCCATTGTTTTAGCGTTTTGTGTGGAGGGGCAAAAACGATTCGAATACGCTACGTGCGGACGCGTATTTTTCGAAAATGGAGAAGAAACTCCTTTTCAAAAATATCCAGATACGTGTGGACAAGGCCTCAAGTTTACGCCTTAAAGACACGACGACTATCTTGACTGACCTATTTACATGGAAGTTCAAATGGGCATTTTAGGGAAGATTTTATACCAATACCTAAGAAATATCAGGAATAGAATTCATAATATACGGGAAAAAGGAGCTACAGGTTTCAGTGAAGAAAAGATCTTCCAGTCTAAGGTTTAGCGCATTTAAGTATCACAACCCTACAACTGCATCCACTGTTTTAAGAAACACCAGGGATAGTTACCTTTAGTGCTATTTAGCTTTTTCTTATCATGTTGGGTGATGTGGCTAGTCTTGTTTCCTTTACTTTCTGACGACTCAACAGTCTGCTTATGGGGAAACAGGAAGAAGGAAATGGTATAGGGGTGAGGCTCTTCCTCCGTGACGTCATTTCCGGTTGTCCGTTCTGCTTGCTGTGCGTCAATGACTTGTGAAATGAAATAACAAGATGTTACGTCGCCTAATGTAGTCTGTTTTGTACTACTGTTGTCATGCTAAACGTG